GGCCGACCATAGTCCCGGCCACTGGGGGCCTGCTGGGGGGGGGGGTTCCTGGGGTTCAGGCCTGGAAGGGGGGGACACAGACGGGGCTTCTGTCTCAAGCAGCCGGGCTTGTCCGTGGCTCTCAGGGCTCCCGGCCTCCCCTCCCCTTCTCTCTCCACTCATCACGATCGTTCAGCTTCCCGGTGGGGACACGGGGACGCCCGCAGTGGGTGTGACCGTGAGGTCAGCAGGGCTGTTTCCAGGGTGAAGCAGGTGCCCCCGTGTGACAGCCTCGTGAGGGACGCCTGACCACGGACGGTCCCATCCCCCCGCCTTTTCTGTGCAGTTTGTAGATGAGAAAACGCGATCTGGGCATCGCATCTTACAGCAAAGCGCTCCCCAGTCCAGCTTCCCTCAGGCTCTACAAGGGGCTCCCGTGGGAACGACGTGGGGCCTCGCACGCGAGAACAGTGTCACCTGATCCGCCGCGTACCCAGCGCGGGCTGTGGAGATAACACGTGCCCGGCCACCACGAGGCGCCCCCATGAGGACCCCCCGACGAGGCCCCCCGAGCTGTGAGTCCTTTTTACAGAAATCTCTCTGCTTTCTGTCAGCACCGTCTCCTTCTGCACCAACAGCGCCCGCCCGCCATCCGCGATGCCAGACATGGAGCCCCTGCAGCGGGGTCTCGGTCATTTTAATGCGACCATTTCACACAGATCACGTGTGCTGTCACCTCAAAATTAAAGGCACAATAACAATCAAGTACCACTGACTATATGGAGAGTTATCCTAACAACTGTTAAGAAAAACCTCACGCCCGGCCCGGTGGCTCACTGGTTAGGGCAGTGATGGCGAACCTATGACACGCGTGTCAGAGGTGACACGCTAACTCATTTTTTTGGTTGATTTTTCTTTGTTAAATGGCATTTAAATATATAAAATAAATATCAAAAATATAAGTTTTTGTTTTCGTCTTTGTTTTACTATGGTTGCAAATATCAAAAAATTTCTATATGTGACACGGCACCAGAGTTAAGTTAGGGTTTTTCAAAATGCTGACACGCCGAGCTCAAAAGGTTCGTCATCACTGGGTTAGGGTATGCACTTGTGCTAATTCGAGGGTCTCAGGTTCAATTCCCAATGAAGGCCCTGCACCTCGGTTGCAGGCTCGACTCCAGCCTGTCGGAGTGTGCGGGAGGCAGCCAACCCACGTCTCTCTCTCACATAGATGTTCCTCTCTCTTTCTCACTCTTTCTCTCTCTCCCCCTCCTTCCACTCTCTCTAAAAATCAATGGACGAAATTCCCGCGGGTGAGGATTAAAGTCTCCAGAAGGCACGGCGGCCCTGCGGCTGCCTCACTGCAGAGCAGGAGGGGCTGCTCCGTGGTGCGGCTGCAGGAAGCGGCCGA